TGCAGCTTGAGTGCCCATCTTATTAACCTTGGGGATAAATTTTTCCCTGAGTACAATCTAGTTACCGCCGCATGATCAGAATATACTGTTATCGGCGCCTTTCCAAAATAGACTCGGAACTTTTGCACTGCTAACAGAACTGCAAGTGCCTCTCTCTCGGTCGCGGAATAGTTTCTTTCGCAAAAATGCATAAGTGCCAGACTTGGTTATAAAAGCAGTCTTAGGCACGTCCTCAGGCCTGACCCCTATTTGAAAATAACCATTCGTTAAGTTTAAAGTCGTCATAAATTTGGTTGATTTTATGTTCCTTAAAATTTCTTCTATGATCGGTAATGGATATACCGGATATTTCGTTATGGAATTTAATTTACGGTAATCAATAGTGAATCTCCACCTTTTTGGATGCTCCAAAGGATAATCATTATTTTTCTTACATAAAACCACCGGACTAGCATAACTACTTGAGATAGGCGTTATGATCTTTTTACGTAGCATATCGGTAATATGCCATTCTATAATTTTTTCCTTATTCTTATCATACCGGTATGGTTTTTGACGAACCGGGAATGCATCTCCGGTGTCAATATTATGGTTAGTAACCTGAGTAAATCCTGGAATATCACTAAGTAAGGAAGCAAATTCACTTACCACTTGTCGGATTCTATCTTGCTCGTCATTAGGCAGGTGGTCAAGATTTAACCTTGGCGGTTCAACCTTTTCTACACGCAGTGGTTTCATCGTCAGCTTAAGGGACGCTGCATTAAAATCCAGTGTAGCTTGTGCGTCTGAAAGAAAGTCTATTCCTAGGATTAAATTTGCTTGCAAATTCTTTACTATAAAAAAACATCACCTTTACTTGTTCGTCCTTGATACGGATGTACACAAGGTACTTTACCTACGCACTTACATTGTTCTCCTTGCGCCGCTAATACTGTTGTATTATCCGCATTATATATGCGGTATTTGCGAAAATACTTTCTAAAAAAAAGACTTCTGCCACACAGGAACACTGCGCGCCGGTATCCAGGAGTGCGGTGGCCGGGATATTATTTACCAAGACTTCAATCTTCGGAAGAGTTAAATTTTTCACCATTACTGTATTTAAATTGTAGGAAGAGGGGTTTTCTTGGCCTTCGGATTTCCGCACCCTCTCGTCAGCAGAAATCCGTTTTAGTTTAAATATTTTTCCTTTTCGTGCTTTCCTTCTTTCTCCACTGGCCTTGAGACTTTTTTCCTGGGTTGCTATTGAACTGTCGACGTTCGCCGGCTGTTTTTGAATGCTCGGGTTTCCTTGCCCACTGATTCGCTTTTTCTCCGTAGCCATGTGCTTGAGTTTGCTGTAGTCTTGGCGTACCAAATTGGTTTCGCTGTTGATATTGGCGTCTTCTTTCGACGTCCGCCGTTCTTCTACTTTCAAACTGGATTGCTAGCTCAAATAACTTTTCCAGTGTAGTCGGATTTCGTAATTCAATAAAGTCTTGCACTTGGGGTAGTAACCTCGGCAAAATCACTTGAATTATTTCAGGATCCGGACGGTTTCCATACAAGAGCTTGAAAACGTGAATTTTTCTTAAAATAAAGCTCGAGAGGTTTTCCATTCTTTGTTGATATATACTGAAAAGTTCCTGTTTCTAATTTCGCACGATCCCTTACAACAGGGAAGGCTTTTAGTAGGGCAGTCTTGAAATCTTCGTAAGTATAGGTGGGACTTCCTGCTTGACCCAAGAGACTTCTGCCGATACATTTGAAACCAGTTAAGCGCTTGGCCCCTCAAAGCGCTGGTAGCTAAGGTAACTTTTTGAAACTCGTGCACGGGGTAGAGCATGAAGTGGTCATCCAATTTTTCCAAAAAAACTGGTTACCTGTGAGTTTCCATTAAACGTTGCTTCTGGTTTCATCGAAGCGCGCATGGTCTGGACGATGTACCCAAATCCTTCCAGGGCGGCAGCTGGCATTTCTGGATTCTGAGCCGTTTCTGCAGGCAGCACAGGTTCTTCCTGAAACTCGGCCATGGTTATTCTTCGTCGGGCGCCACTATCAGGTTCAATGTTTCTTCTAACCTTCTTCGGAAACATACAATGACCTGACTAGGAACAGAGAGCTTACTAAAGCTATGTTCACTAATTGTAGTAAGTAGACAGGATACAGACGAAGGGTATACAAAACCCTTTATTTTTCTTTATATACAATGACTTCCGTACTTCGGAATACAATGACCCTCCACTCGGGGTCTAACGTAAAAGATATCAAAATAAAACTAAACTCTAATTTAACTTTAGAATAAGATTGGCCTTATAATAACAGGAAGCGTATGTAGCACAGAGACTGTGAACACTACAATACGTTTAATTTATCAAGAGGATTAAAACCTCTGGCCTGGAAGGCAAATAGCAACTGCGTAACTTCTACGGTAAGCGGCCTGCTTCGAACTCACTGCTTCCTCTCTTCTGCTTGGCAAAAAGGCCACACTTAAATACTTGGCGTTCGCCAGACAACTTTGCATAAACTCCTTCACGCTTATAATTCTGGCCGGAAGTAGAAAAATAAGAAGTGATAGTAAAGATTTAAAATAAAATAAACGTTAGTAAAACTTAAGATCCTTACAATGTTATCATGAAACAAGTAAAAGAGAGATTTTGTATTATTTCTCACTTCTCTGCTGTTTTTCTCCTTGAAGCTCCAAAATTTCAGCAGTGTAATAAAAACTTTCCAACTCAGATTCTTGATCAAACAACTGTTGTTTATTCCATTTTACAGAATAATCGTCTGAAAACTGAACTAGGAGTAACAAACAGAAGATGAAATTTCAGAAATATGATTGGTGCTGTTAGTTTTCTAAACTGATTAAACTGATATATATATATATATATATAATAACCTTGCAGAATATATTTTTGGAAAACTCCAGACTGTGGCTAATTATTATTATTACTCCAGTGACCAATGCTGAAATTTGAGAGATGCTTCTCAACTCTATAACGAGTTAAGGCATTTTTAAGAAGTACTATGAATGAGGACAGATGAAGCACTCTAGCAATGCTTAAACTTAGATGTGTGTGCGGGGGGGGGGAGATAAATGATACATCTAAATTCAATGAAAATGTTATTGTTTCCCTCTCAAAAAAAAAGACAAATGAGTGGATTTCATTTACAAAAGTTGTACTCTATTTTGTAATTAACGTTCAAAGACACACTGTAAGCAATATTATGGTTTTATTACATTCCACTGTAAGAAATAAAATGTTACAATTTTTTACCTACGAAAACTTATTTTCTTTTAGTTGCATTGTTTTCCTTTAACTTGTGAAAACACAAATGTATTTAAACTTGTAAATCATGTCCTATCTGCATATTAAATTTTTGAAATTTGTTTCAACGAACCTCCATTTAAACACTCCCTGCGCTGCCACTACACTAGTGGCAATGTATCATGAGATTGGCAACTAATGACATATTTCGTGAAATTTTACTTTGCTACTATCACAAAGTGACGAAGTTAAGTTTGACCCTTTAGTTATTTATTACACATATACCTATTTCCTGAGCATGCTTAGGATTGAGTTCTAGATAAAGAAATCCCACATATATTTAAGGCTTGTCCAGGGTCAGCATTGATTATTTTTAGACCCCCGCAGTCCTAAATTCTGCAGCCAAGCAGTCCCTTAAATTCTAAAAATTTTGCATCCCAGTGCCTTCCCTAAATTCTGAAGATTTTGCCAGCCTTTAATTTTACTGTTCAGTGCTTCCCTGAATTCTAAAATTTTTGCATCTTCTAAATTCTAATAGCCGGTGGTGACCACACTGGCTCTTACGTTGGTGTCCTGGGTTTATCTATATGTAATTTTTTGGGCTATTAGTATCATTCACAAAATCTCTCTCTTTATATATTATATATATATATATTTAAACAAATTTAAATTTTAACAAACATGTATATACGTAAAAAAAAGCAAATTTAAAGTTAAAATAATTTTAAAAATGTGCAAACATATAAAAGATTTAATTTTTGAACTAATCTGCAATATCATTTAAATTCAGATAGCATAAGTAAATCAAGTGCAAAACCAAACCATGAAAATAAATTCACCAATTTAGCAAATTAAACATGGTTTGGTTTTGCACTTGATTTACTTATGCTATCTGAATTTAAATGATATTGTAGATTAGTTTGAAAATTAAATCTTTTATATGTTTGCACATTTTTTTAAATTATTTTAACTTTAAATTTGCTTTTTTACGTATATACCTGTTTGTTAAAATTTAAATTTGTTTAAATTTAAATTTCATTCCTTGCAGCAATGGCGCAAAGAATTAAATTTGTATTTAAATTAAATTTATTTAAATTCAATTCTTTTGAAACAATATATATATATATAAAGTTACAATTTCTCAAGTTACAATGCTCAGTTACAATTTCTCAAGCTGCCACGTGTTGATAGTCATGTGGTGATGAAAGTAAAAGATAATAAATAATAATTCACCAGGTTGGAATCAGAGATATAAATTATTCAGTAGGTATAAAATCAATAACGGTTCAATGTAGAATTTTTTGGTTTGAGGTATATGGCAAGCAAAAAGGCAGCTACAAAGCTAAATTGTTAATTACACAGATTTATGCTAATAAATGATTGTTTCTTTGATATAAAGGTATTTTATTTAATGCTGAAGTTAAATTAAGAACTAGGACTCCACACATTTTACAATAAAAAAATATCAAATGTGAGTGCATAAAACATACAAAAAAGAAATTATAAATAAAAAAAAAGAAATTGCTGTTGCTAGTGGTCCAGATTTTAGATCATTCCAGATTTCAGACTTTTACTGTATGTGGAAATGCTAAAAAGAAACTTTACAACCTATGCAAATGTGTATTTGGAGAAACTACACTTTTGCATCTAAAATGTGGATATGTCTACAAAGATCATTTTCATTTAAGCTAAATAATGAGCAAATTTTGTGATTAAAAAGTAATTTCATTCATTTAAAAATAAATGCATTACTTTCTCATATTCTTTTTGTGCTCTTCTTGCTTTGACAACCTATCACTCATAGCTTTACGACGTCGCTCCTCAAATGTCTGAGCAGCCCTTTCTGCAGCTCTCATATTAGCTGCTTCCTGGTAACATATAACCTGTTGTTGCCACTGTTCCATAGCTTTGTCCAATTCCTGTTGGTTTGTCTTGACTTTGAAAAGTTTAACCTTGAATTCTTCACTAAATAATTAGAATTTTTAATGTAAATTTTCATCAGAAAATACAAATTAAATAGTTAATAATTACATTTGTGTATAACAGGAGTTAAAAATACACTAATCCTTAAAATATTCATTATTAAAAGATAACTAGAGACAATATTTACAAAGACATATTTCATACATTTTATGTTAATATACAAAGCAACAGACACAGAAGTAATTTCACTGAAAATAAAGCATATCAAGCACATATGAAACATATATTTTCCTTTAAAATTAATCAGTAAATGGACACCCACGCACTTCTCTTTAGAACATCATCTCGCTTCTGAATAATTTCCATTCTCCTTTTTCTAACCTGTTCTTCTTTCAACTGTATAGCCTTCAATTTCTGCTCAGCTTCATAACGTGATAATCTTTCTGATGCATAGTTGCGTTTGGGATTCTGGTCTTCAAATGACTTAGTTTGATTTTTTGCTGCCTGCTAAAAGAATAAAAATTTGTTAAACTAATAAAAATAAGATTAATGAATTAACATGCATTGTTACTATGGAAATTAAAACTCTTTTTAAAGTAAAATGCACACTTGAGCAAAAATAATTTTTAATACTTTTAAATAAAAAATTAACAATAAAATATAACCAGCTTCATTTAAAAAAAGAAAAAAAAATCACTAACCTAAAAACTGAATGTTAAATATTAATAAAGACCTCATGTCTGCATTGTTAATTTTATTTTTTACTTCTTTACTATCATTTTACTTTTTAGTTCATTGTTAAAACAAAGACTTTAAGAACATGTAATTTAGGATGTCAGAGAAATGAATTTAGAATGTAATATAAAAAAAACTTCGCTGTAACTTCACGTGGTTTACATTATTTTTTTTCATTTTAAAAATATATATTTTTAAATACCATAAGGGTGCTAAAAATCTGAAATATATTCATCATGATTAATGATGTGCTGTAACATACAGAAAAGCTTCCATGAATTCAAACTTTAGATTACCACTTAAGGTAACATATTGTTACAAAATGTACAGACTCGGTAAGATAGCTTCCCCGCAAAGCAGGTTTAGGGTTGCCACATTTGGCGACAAAACTGGCGATATGCCATGCACAGATGGAAAACCTTCTGCAACGAATTCTTACTGGTTTAGCCCAGAATGTTCTCGAACACAAGCCGAAAGCTATACAAACCCTGCTGTTCTGCAGTGCAAGATAGTTAATCTCTAGATAGTCAGTCCATGCGGAGTCAATTGAGTTGACAGCCAAGCAGCAAGTGCCGAGTGGGTCGTCGAGTGCATTGAAAGAGTCTCTTAGTGTATCGCAGTTAGTGCATCGTTGAGAGAGTGCATTGAGCTCCGTGAAAAACTGAACCGAAGAGTCGGGAGCTGTTCTCTATGTGTCATTGAGTGCATCGCGAGTTGTAGCGTGGAGAATCTCGAGAGTACGTGGAGTTCTGAGAATGACCAAGCTGTACTTTAAGTCCGGAGCTGTACTCTGGTGCTTTGCAGTGAAGCTTACTCCACTGTTATAGCCTGATAACCTGAAGGCTGTGTCGCTGATTGTTCCAGCGACTGTATAGTAGATCTTCGATGACTGTAAAACGTGACTTTGGAGCTGTCCTGATTAATATTGGCTAAATAAAGTGTGTTTTGATACTTCATGAAGTGGTGTCGTCTTTATTCACTCCAAATCCGAACGAACCCCGTACGTAACGAACGAATGTAAAGGAAGAAAGTAGTGGGATTTGCGAGTGAATGCCAGTGACCCGCCAGCAGAGGAAAGCCATGGCGGAAACGAAGACTTCTTGGCTGAGATGAAAGCTGGACAGGAAGAGATGAAAGCCAAATTGAAAGAGTTAAAATCCGGATATGGCGAGATAAAGGCCAGATATGATGAGATAAATGCTGGATAAAAAGAGATGATGGCTGAGATGAAAGCTGGACCGGAAGAGATGGAGACCAGACGAGAAGAGATGAAAGCCGGCCGAGAAAAGCTGGGAGAGAAAATCCCACAGATGAAAGTGGAGCTTGCAGAAGAAACTGGAGCCATAAAAAAAGATGCGGAAATGATGGAAGTGACACCTGAAAAATCAGAGGATAAAGAAATAAAGGAAGTAGCTGGTCATATATCCGAGAAAGCTAAAGAAATAAACAATGACACATCTTACGAGATTAAAGAAAGAGAACAAAAAGATGAAGAAAAAGATGGGGAAGACACTTCTCATCCTCAGGTGTCTGAAGTTGAACTGGAAGACAGTGTTTTTAAAGATGAAGAAATAAACAAAGTGTCTTATAAAGCTTCAGAAAGAGATGAAGAAATAATCATTGTAAATAAAGTTCCTGATTCTCAAGTGCCTGAAGTGGAAGAATGTGAAAATGCAACTGTTAAGTTCAACAAAACTGATAGTAAAATTACAAAGTCGCAGTTAGCAAGAATTGAACCATCTGAAAATGCATGTGATGAAGAAATGGAAGAAGCTGATGTACAGTTTACGGAGAGTGCTCCAGTATTGCAAGAAGATTCACCCACTTCACAAACTAAGTATGTATCTCCTAATACAAGTTGTACAGACACCAACTTGATTTTAAGCCAGGATACTTGTGTTTGTGAAGAACTAGAGTTCCGTTTATGACTCTGATGCAGAATTTAAAGCTGGTTCCCAGGAAACTAAAGAAAATAAGCATGTACCATCTGCTAAAAATACCAAGGTGAACTGTACGCATGCTGCGAATGAAATACAGAGTGTTGAACGAACTGTTTTAGATCTTCCAGTGGATGAAAAGTCTGAAAAGACTGAATCTTCAGACTGTGATATGCAAAACAGAAATGTGTCTGAGAACTGCAGTGGAAAAGTATTTGACCCGGATATAACTTAATGGAAAGATTGAGACTGAAATTCATTCTGAACCTTCATTTGTATAATTTGAAATTATTATGTGTTTAATTTGCATCTGTGTGTCGTCGAGTGCATCGCGAGTTAGAGCGTGGAGAGTCTCGAGAGTACGTGGAGTTCTGAGAATGACCGTCGAGTAGAGTCGGGAGCTGTCCTCTGGTGCTTTGCAGTGAAGCTGTCTCCACCATTATAGCCTGATAATCTGAAGGCTGTGTCGCTGATTGTTCCAGAAAGTGTATAGTAGATCTTCAACGACTGTAAAACGTGACTTTGGAGCTGCCCTGATTAATATTGGCTAAATAAAGCGATACTTCATTAAGTGGTGTCGTCTTTATTCACTCCAAATCTGAACGAACCCCGTACGTAACGAACGAACATAAAGGAGGAGAGTAAATAACGTAACAATATTGATTTTCATGATGCAATTAAACTAAAATGTAGATTTAAAAAGATAAATTAAAATCTCATTAAAACCTATTAACTACTATTATGTATTGCATTAGTTATAAACCATCTCAAAATAAATGCTTATAGGAAGAATGAATACTATATATGGCAATCAATCACCATAAAATATTTATAATTGGTAATCTTCTACCTATTCTTGACTTTACATTTTAAATATAAAAAGCTGCATTCAGCTCTGTTTTCTGCCCTTCTAAAAATACAATGCAGCAAAATATTACAGAAAATGTGGCAAAATATTTCTATAACAACTATATATTTGTTTTAAAACTGCATAGCTGCTAACCTTGAAATATGAAAAATTGGAATGATTCCACATGAAAACCAGAAGAACTGGTAAGTTTTCACATTTGGCTAATTTCATTAATTTTGAAGATTTTCTTAACCCTCTGAGGAGCAAGGCTTTTTGAATCTGTTCATGAAGACCTGTACTTAAACAGAATTTATAAGCTAAATTTATATAATTAGTTATATCAAATATAGTTATATTAAATGGTTAGCCTATATGACTGATTACTATTTTTTTATTTTGCTGAAAAATAACAAATAAAACACTTATTAAAATCCTAGTTTACGCTGCCGCCTTGGCACGATTTTGAAAATGATCGCCAACACTAAAATGACCAGTTTATTGCTCATCATATCTTCAAATCCCGTGTGTAGCATATACTAGGATTAAACCGATTTTGTTTTATACAAAGAATATGTATTATTAAGAAGGAAAACTTATCCGCAACAGGAGTGCCTCTGTTCCAACGTAGGGGGAAACAGCTGACCATGCCCAAAATATCTGTCGGCAAAGCTCAAACCGGCGTCGAAGTTCAAATGCCACGTTTATAAAGAGTTCATAAAACAAATATTGTTTTAAATTTCTTTAAGCTTTAAAGGAAAAGAAAATATTTTCTTGCACAAATAAATTTATTCTTAGATTAGTTATTTTGAGCAAAAAAAAAAAAAAAAGGACAAAAATCCGAGTTTAAATTATTGCGAAAAGTTAAAGAAAATGTTTCTTCTTAACGTGTTCCTCAATTTCGTGTACATATTGTGGAGGGGGGAATTCTCGCTGCTAGGTTCCATCGCCAAATTCCTTGGCGAATTTTTCCCTCAGCTTTCTAGCAGCATAATAGCAATGTGATTTACATTATGTCTATGGTTTTATAGAAGAATGGGAAGGTATTTCAAGTCTCTCGATTCTCGAGGTTACTGGAAACCGAAGTTGATGGAAAATTGCTTTGCCTTCAAGACAGTTTGATTGGAGCTGCAGAAATTGGCTCTATGTCAGCTGCCTGAATACAGAAAATATAAGAGCAAAATATTTTTAATTATAAGCTAATATAGACAAAATGACAAAAAAATGTCATGACCAAGTAAAGCCGGGCATGCCACTCAGAAGGTTAAAATCTCCCGTTTTACTGGGCCGATTGATGAAATTCAAATTGCTTTTTTCCCATCTCAAAAGTGCGACTTAGGATATGCATTATACATAGCATTGTACTAATATAGGAATTTTGTCACAAAAGTGGACTTTTTTCTGAAATGACATGCCAATTTTTTTTCCATATTTCAATTCTACAACTCAAATTACGCCAAACTGCCACATTTTGTAAAAATCACGAGTAGTTTTTTTTTTTTTAATTTGTAATGACATTAGGTATTTTTTGGGGGGGAAGCACAAAAGATGAAAAATGAGCAACGCCCTCGCCGGGAATCGAACCACAGACCTCTGGAATACGTACCCAAACTGCAGACCACCACATCACGAAAGCATGCTAGGAAGGCGGGAGAAATAGCTTATATACTCCTCCTTTTAAAGGGCGAATGGGGTTTTTAGGGGGCCCTATCGCCAAATCCTGGGTGTGGAGAATCATCATCCACCACCCTTTTAGTTTGGGCGCCAAGGCAGAGACATTGTCTTTTTTTTTCGGGGGAGGGAAGCAGGAAAGATGAAAAATGAGCAATGCCATCACTGGGAATCGAACCACAGAAGTCTGGAATACGCGCCCAGCATGCAGAACACCACACCACAAAGGTGTGCTAGGAAGGCGGGAGAATACCTAATAAATTAGCTCTCAAAATTTTAGCTCCTCAATGTTAATTTAATTTGGTATGTATTTATTA